AAACGAAGACAAAACATCAATTCAATGAAGAAAAAAGGGGCAGCGTATTATGCAAATTACAGACCAGAGATACCGAAATCAAGTGCAGCAATTTAGAAGAAGTGTTTTAACAGATCATGGAAAGTGCAGCACCGAAATGTAGAATAGCGAAAAAACAACATAAAGAAACAGAAAAATATCCTTAGAAAAAATGTATTGGGCTATCATGTTGTATTAGTCTTCTTATATAGCAGTGAATGCTGAACAATCGCGTCATAGATGAAGAATAGACTTGATGCAACAGAAATGAGAATAGACTTGACCAGAAATGAAGGCATTGGAATAGCGAAAACTTCTAATGTATGAGCAAAGCAAAAGAAAAAGGATGCTAAATGGACAATGGCAATGACAAAAAAGGAAATGGCAATGAAAAGGAAACTTCTACTTAACCTCAGTAAGAGACAGTTGAAAATTCTGGGGCATTTAATAAGGAAAGACGGCTTGGAAAATTTTATACCGAACAGAATATCGGTAAGAGAGAGGTGAGTAACGTATATCTTACATAGCAAGCTTGAGTGAACGGGTGGTGTAGCAAGGTATGCGAGAGATGGTAAAAAGATAAAATTTATTAAGAGCAACAAGAGACATAGAAATTGTAGAGAGCCATAATCGCTAACGTCCTGAACATAAATAGTACATAAAAGTATAAGGTTAACCAGAAGAAATAGAAATCTTTCATAGATGTGCTTTTGGGCCAATATTTTCCTTTCATTTGTAATACCAAGATCAAGATCTTGCTGTCCCTTTAACGATTCAGTGCGCATAGAAACTGGTGAGCCAATATATCACTGCAACGCGCATGCTCACACATCCGCATCTTGTTTTATACTTCGTTATTGAGTAATCGTCATTTCCGATATTTCATTTTGACGCGACTCTCTTGAGTCGAAAAGAATTCCAATTTGCAGAATGGTCAATTGGTGGTCTTTCAAACAAATATTTACTCGCCTGGAAACTGAACAGTTTCATTATTGAATGATAGCTCGACCATTAAACAAGAAAATGACTCAACTTTGAGTCAATATAAGAAAAGAAAGTTTTTGTCAGTTTTAGATTGTTTTGGAAAGTTATACCCCGGGTGGGCGTAGAGAAATAAAATCTAATCAAATAAGCTTCTTTCTTTCTGTTTTGAAGGGCTTCTTAGTTTGGTCAAGAACTTTTCAATAATCTTTACTATTCAAACAATAGTCAACAACCCAAATTATTTTGAATTCCAAAAAATTAATCCAAAATGCTGGGTTAATAAAATATTATATTTTGATGTTAGCATTTACTTGATATTATTTACACGCGCAGACTGTTGTTCCAATCTTCGTTGTTTTTGTCATATGATTTCGGCCTTTGTACTCTCTGGCCTTTAAAACAGATGAGGACAATAGACAACGTGCAAATAATGATAGCTTCTCCTTCCAGAACTTAAATAAGTATTTAAGTTTCCATCCATAACGTGTCTGCCAAGCAACATTTTACTAGATACAACCCATCTGTCCATTCAATATTTACAATTACGTAAATCTTAAGTCCTTTCAATCATTAAGACTGTAGTTGGAGATGTATAGAAGCCAGAGCAGCAGTGGGTGGGTGTGTCCAGGAGACTTTGTCCTTCTCATAGACTGGATTTTCGCCTTTTTTAATGCATACCAACTCAGAATGAGAAGTCGCAGAACCGAGTTCGAAATCTAGTTGAGTTCGTTACATTCACTTCCACACAGATGCTCTAGCGAATGATATAAATCTATCGTTTCTCTCCTCAATTATGGATTAAATAGTAGGATTTCTATTTAGAAAAATCATTGTTATCTCCAAAGAATAGATCATGCATTATTAATTCGCAAAGAAATGAATTATTCTTACGATCCAAAAATATGTTTCGGCTTTAAATAAACCATAAAGGCCGTTTGAAATAAAACAGTCAAATAATCTCTTAGAGTGTTTTTACACAAGGCTAGAAAAGACAGACTTTCCTACTATTTAATCCATAGTTGAGGGGGGAGAGATAAATTCATGAATTTCTCGAAGGCATTTGTGGGAATGAAGGACGTCTGGAATTTCATTTCGATTCGCCGATTGCATTTTCTGCATTAATAGCCGACACACTACCTACGCTTTTATTTTTTAGGTATATGCAACAATTCTCAGCACCAAATTTATGAAAACAGGGCGATTAAATTAAACATTAAAATGTCATAAAAAAAAGAAAAGAAAAAACACTGAAAACTTGTTCACCTATTTAATATGCGGGGGAACGATCTGAATTAATGACCCTACTTTTTCAGAGGTCAAAGAACTATGAAGGTGTATAAATGGATTTTTGTAGCAATATATTTTTGGAAAAAAAATATTACCAGCAATGCATTTAAGAGAAATATTACCAGTAATATATTTTTAGGAAAAATATTACCAGGAATACATTTAAAAGTAATATTACGATCTATACATTTTTGGAAAAAAATATTACCAGCAATATATTTTTTAAAAATAGCAGTAATACATTTAAAAGAAATATTACCAGTAATAGAGTTTTGGAAAAAATATTACCAGCAATACATTTTAAAAAAATAGCAGTAATATCTTTAAAAGAAATATCACCAGTAATACATTTTTATGAAAAATATTACCAACAATATATTTGACTATCGACAAAAAAAAAGACGTCGATGAAACTTGATCTATTAACTGATTACTTACAAAGAATAAATATTCTTTTCATACAAACCTATCCTAAAAATCTTGTCAGCATTAAATAACCCATTGAAGTAGATATATCGTAAAACAAATTAAACTAAACTAAACCTATTTCTTTCCAGGGAAACAATAATAAATCCATGAGGCCATTAACTCTTTAGGTACACAACAATATGTTGGAACAAATCCAAAATCATTTGGTTAATTGACAAATATCTAAGTGTGCTATTCAAAGGAATCACCTGTAGCTTAGCTGACCCAACCTCCACAGTTTAGTGTTCGTAACCGTTCAGCCATTGTCGATTAAAACAGTGAATGGAGGAACTGAATGACACGTTTCTACTTGATACAAATTTTGCCGTCAGAAACTCTGAGATCTTAATCTGTGACGAGGAAAAATCTATAGTTTCTTGGGGAAAATATTCCAAAAGCACAAAATAAGGAAAGAGGATTTGGGAAAATTAACACTCACAAGACATATTGACTTGCAGAAAGCACATCATTTCCTACCCAACGATCTTGTATAAATGTCTGGCAGAACATGAATTCGGAGAGCAGTATAAAACACGAACTGTACTAAGCGCTAAATACATGATGATGACAATGATGAAAAGACTATATATATATATATATATATATATATATATATATATATATATATATATATATAGAGAGAGAGAGAGAGAGAGAGAGAGAGAGAGAGAGGCATATCTTCATTCAAGCAGGTTTGGTTGAAATATCTAGATATATTATGTCGATTTATTTTATTTTAATATTTTCAAATTCACATACTGCCATGATTGTGTTCTCCTGCTTGTTTGGCATGGTGTAGAGTCCTTTTGCTAGATACAGGGTCTCCCTGCAGCCACCCTCTTGACCCAGGGCAGGCACAAACTCCTGAAGGCACTTGATGTAGGCCTCCATGCCGTGTCTGAGACCTTGTAGGAAGATGAATGGAGGTATAACGTCGTCATCACTAGTGATCACTCCAAACACTTTCGTAATAACCATTACACTAATGTAACTCTTTGCGGATCGTCTACAATGTCTTCAGATTGACACCCAAACACTCTGAATTATTGGAGCTTCCTGCGCTAATGCCAAGCAGTACAGCATGCCGTTTCCAAATTTCGGACGGAGTGAATTGCATCATGGTGATCTTTTTCTCACAGACGGTGCGCAACTGACACTGCTGTACCATGCAGTCTATAAAATCAAAAACAAACAACGCGCATGCGCGAAATTAAAAATATAAAATAGCGACAATTTACCCATCGCACCCTGTATATATATGTGTGTGTATGTATGTATGTATGTATAATATTTTTTATAACATCGTGTTGTCTCGAGGGTTGTCTGCGATTAACATTTCATACACATAAGCGTAATCGTCAAGCCGCCGGATGTGTGTGTGTGTGTGTGTGTGTGTGTGTGTGTGTGAGAGAGAGAGAGAGAGAGAGAAATAGAGACAGATTTGTATACTGCATTTAACACTATAAACGGGTTACTTTTCGCCTAAATATGTCCCACTGTATGGATTAAAGTGTCAAAATATCTTCAATATCTGTCTCTATTTCTGAGATAAGGTATTATAACTATTTATACTATTTACATTGTTCGGACTGTTGCTCTCATCTTTGTTGTCATATTCACGACGTTTCGACCGTTGTAGGCTCCAGTCTTCTTACCCAAAGACACTTGGTTGAAGTAATCCAGTGACTTGACCTAAAGAGTTGTGAGTTCAATAACTGGTCACAGCAGAGGTGAACAAAACTTGGAGAGTTGAGTTACTAAAGGGAATTAACTGAAACTGAAATATCCGAAAGAGACATGGCACATGGAACTAGAACAATCTATCCCGCGTCGACGAGTTCAGTTAGCAATTAATACATATATCATCTGAAGAAGGCTGGAGCGTACACGGTTGAAACGTCGTGAATATGCCAGTAAATGTGAGGAAAACAGTGCGAACAATGTAAATAGTGTAAGTCAAAATTCGTTACTGCGGACATATAGGATTGATTGAGTGATTTGTTTTTACGATTTATCACCCCTTTGGTAGTTATTTAAAGCCAGAAAATATTTTTAGATTTTTTTTAATATAATAGTAGTTTAGTTATACAATTAACCCACATCTGAGGGACAAGAGCTGGATTCATGCCTTTCTCAATGGTTTTTGCGCGTAAATGAATATAACAAAGCCAACAGGAATTGGAACTCGGCATTCCGACTAACAATTCCGAGCAATTATCAATTAAATTCACCGCACATCCAAGCTTACAGCACCTGGTATTCCGAAGCGGTCATCCATCTTGGTACTGACCAGGCTCGACGTTGCTTAACTTTGGTAATCGTACGTGAACCGGTGTTTGAAGGTGATGTAGCTGTAACTCGTGACGCACAAGATATTTATATAAGCGCGTGAGGCACGAAAAAAAGTGCTTAGAATATTGCTTCCATATATGGTCCGGTGCTTCTGCTACTTTCCTGGAACTCATTGATAAGATCCAAAGAAGAATCAGCAATATTATTAGCCCTGATCTGGTAGCTCGGCTTCAATCAATCTCCCACCGCTGTAAGTTTGCCTCTCTGTGCATTTTGAAATACTTTCATGGCACTTATTTGGATGAGCTTATTCCTAGTTCCTAGATTGTATGAATTTAAAAGCAATACTTGACTGGCTGCGAGATCTTCTCAATTTAGAGTTGAGCTAGTTTGCACTAAGTTAACACTTTCTTATCTCTCACTTCTCGCTTATGGGCTCCCTCCTGAGCCATGCTTTCCACCAACTTTAATCTGAAAAAATTTAAATGCAAATTCAATCACTATCTATTGTCCTCCTGATTGCTCTTTTCTTTTTCTGCTCATTATTAACGTTTCTGTTCGTAATTCCTGTACACCCTGTAAACGCTTGCGTGCTAGTGGTTATACTGCCTTGCTTGGCGTCATACAGATTAAAAAAAAAATTCGGAAATAATAAACTGTTTTCTTTATTTCTCTAGAAATCCAAATTATTTTCTAGCAAATTGTTTCAGAAAATGGATATCGAATCTTGTTACGCAAACTGAAAATGCGACAAAAAGAAAACTTTTTCCAAATTTCTATTTAATTTCAATTTCCCTTTGAATTTGAATTTTAGCTGATAATTTTTTTTTGGTAGAAGATAAGCCAAATTTAGCCTCCATGTGCGTGCATAACTGATTCTATAATAGCCTTCCCAATGCTAAACGCTATAATTTTGCATTAGTCTTCCTTAATGCTAAACAAGGTGAAAATTGATTTTCTCGAAAATCCTACGTAATTATTACAAAATGACCGCCAGAATGAAAACGAATTTACAACTTCATTAGAAAAGGAATTTATTCTTATTATCTTGGCTTTAATTTTATTAAATCAAACTTTATACGTTTGTCAAAATTATTTTTCTGTCTAACTCAAGAGGCTTACCGGTTCGCGAGGATTAGAAAATCCTTTTATCATTGAAGTGAGTTCGAATTATACAGGCTTCACAAAATTAACCAGACGAAAATAAGTTTTGTAAATATTCATAGCTACCGCTTTAAAAGCTATAGTTATTTTCAGTATACCGGAAATTAGTTGATTTCTTTTGACTGTTCATCGGAAAAGACCTTTCTATGCATAAGCAAAACACAATTTTCAATAGGGTTACGCAGGTGGCAGCTAGATACCACTAAATGTTTTTGTATGATTGTCGTATTCACAGTTGCAATCTATTTACACAATCGGCATGGATTTCTTTGCAGAAATCTCGCATCATCCAGGATTGTTGAACACACAGTAAACCAAATTTAGTTGTCTTTGATTTCAAGCATATATTTTAAATTGACGTTGAAAGGTTAAACCTTCTGAATGAGATTTGTAAGGATATGACGAAAGAGAATTTTTTTAAATGTTTTGAGAAGTTAATGCAGACTGGAATAAGACTAAGATTTAAAGAAAATTACTTTGAAGTGGACTATTTTTAAAAGGAAAACTTTTAAACGACGCATTTTGCCGATATCCTTTGATCTCGGCTTATTCAAGTTAGAATGAAATGCAAATCTACTATGAGGAAAATGGTTTGCAAATTTTTGAGGATGAAACGGATCGTAAATTAAATTACCTTATCAGAAACCAAATAGTATTTGTTATATATAAACTATATATGACCGGTTCACCGTGTTGGCCCGGTCTCACTCTTTATTTCATCTGAAGGTTCTGGAGGCACTTTATATCGGGTCCCGCAAGCCTTCTTTGTGCAAACAACGTGAGTGTTTGCTGGGACTCGCTGTCATCTGTCTCTAGTTCCTTCTGCATATATATATATTTTTTTCCCCCCCAATTATTTATTGTACATTTTTCTGTATTAAGCGAGCGGGAGCGAAACCGGTTGCTTCCCCCCACCCACGTTGTTGTGGTTTTTTTTTGTCTTTGTTTTTTTTTATTTTTGTGTTTAATAAGTCTTGTAATATTAAATTTTATACTTTTATTTCGATCATTAAATTTTGTACCTACAAAAATATCTATATATATATATATATATATGTGTGTGTGTGTGTGTGTGCGCGCGCGTGTGTGTGTGGAATATAATAATTTGTATGATTTGATCTGTAATTATTTTACGACATATCACCTCTTTTAGTTTATTTAAACCCGAAATATTTTTTAGTGTCTAAGAATAATCTTTTCTTTTTGCGAGTGGATATTGCATTAACAATATTTTGAAAATGAAAATGCTTTTTTTTCTGATAAAACATGCTATTTAACCCATAGCTGGAGATGGAGTTATTCATTTCCCAAGGTATTTAGCCTTAAGTAAATATAACAAACCTGACTGGAATTCGAGCTCGGTTTTCAAATTTTCTCACTCCAATTACACTGCCATACACAGCTGAAAGAATTATTGTAGAATACCTACAAACGATAATGGGTATGTACCCATACACATAAATACAGTAGTTAATACTGTATGTTGATCTGCATTTACGGAGATTCGTCTCCAGCTGTGCTGATCAAACTCTCTTCGTCCGAGCGAAGAGGATCCCCAGATGAGGCTCTGTCGAAGGGCAGTCTCGTCTCGGGTAACAGCTACCCGATCCCGTTTTATACGAGGCCTAAGGGGAATTTATAGCCGAGCCTACTGACTAGGATACCCCACATTAGATTCGGCCTTGTGCCACATCTGACCACGAAGTGGCGGTTGGTAGATATCTTGCAGTTGGAGATCCATTGTGGAATTCAATTCTGGCAGTTGACTTCGACGCGCCACTGGTGAATCTTACATATGTTGTTCGTGTCTGAAGTATTATAGTTCATTACCAACTTTCGTTTGATTATTCTATTCAGTAACCTTCCCAAGATTACAACAAGAATAAATATCCGTTTACAAAATTATATTCCAGAAATGTCAGGACCTTCAGTTATTCAAGAATGGACAATATGATTGGTAAAATAATTTTTCCCTGTAATAGATTTTTTAGAGATTTTATTTTTTCCTAAGTGAACAAATTCTACAGCAACGTTTCTTTTGAAAATATCACATTATAATTGAAAATAGTTTGAAAAAAAAAAGTTTACTTTGTGAAGGGAGAAAGGCACAGTGCTGACATTTAAACTTAAAGAATCAAATGAAGACATTGTTCAGAAGCGTAAGATGAGTTTTGTTAAACATCTTTAAATGAAGTTAATAAATCTATTTTTATGCTTTGTCCTTAGTATATAAAAAAAGCATCTGTCGATGTATATTTATTTCATTATTAAATATAAATTTAAAATATGACACATTACGAAAACTATCTTCGATAGCTTTAAGCGCGAATTGAATTTTTTATTTTCTGATTCTGAAGCCGGATTCATTTAGTTTAGCTTCAAACATTAACAGAAAATGACAACGTAATCTAATAACAATCGATTTTTCCACATTTTCAATTATTTTTAAAAATTTTGTCATATTTATTCACTGGGTTATATTTCATGTGGATAAGATTGATCACACAATGCTTAAGACTTCAACTATTGTTTTCCTGCTAGAGAGATTTTTCTCTTTACCAAGTCCCCTCCTCAAATTTCACCTTCCATTCACACAAGCTCCTCGGGTATGTGGTTTACCACCTCATGTTATCTCCCGTCCCATCTATAAGACATTATATGTGGGTAAATTGAACAGTTCATACAAACCTAGTGTACACTATTTACATTATTCGGTCTATTGTCCTCATCTTTGTCGCCATATTTATTACAACGTTTCGGCCTTTCAGTATCTGTCTATATTTCTGAGATGAAGTATTATGTACATTATTTACATTATTCGGACTATTGTCCTCATCTTTGTCGCCATATTTATTACAACGTTTCGGCCTTTGTACACTCCGGTCTTGGAATACAAAGGATCTCCGGTCTATATAACATGAGGACAACATTCAAAGGCTGGACGACACTTCGCAGGTATCTCTCCCGAGTAAGAACCCCCATAGAGGAGAACATGACTAAAGACTGTGTGTACGCTATCCCGTGCAGATGCAGAAAGAAATATAAAGGGGAGAAAGGTCTCACTCTTAAAGTAAGGCATCAATTACAACAGAAACCTGCAGAGGGAAAGTAGAAAAATCAGGCGTGGCTGAACACATATGGAGAGAAAAGGAAGATCTCCGCCCTCTGTGGGATCAGGTTGAAATCATAGACAAAGAACTCCATTGGAAAATCCGTAAACTTAAGGAATCAGCATATATGCTAGGCCACAAAAATCTCCTGAGCCGACCAAGCATAGAAATGAATACAATATGGGAACCAGTAATAAGGAGTGCCAGAGAAAAACGATAATAACAACAAAAATTGCAATATGAGCTCTGGTAAAAATGGTTGCCGAGACATCAGGTTTATAATACCAAGAAATTCATGCACAAATGTCCTCATGGACACATGGCACAATGGATAAAGGCGTTGATTAGATCCAGTGACAGGACCCAAAGAGTGTGAGTTCAATACCCGGTTAAGGCAGTGGTGAATTAACAGGCGATAACTGATAACTGACATCCATTGTACATGGCACGTGGAACTAGAACAGTCTACCCCAGCGAGCTGAAGAAGACCGGAGCGTATAACGGCCGAAACGTTGTAATAAATATGAGATTCGGACAATAGTCCGAATAATCTAAATAGTGTACATAATGCCTCGTCTCAGAAATATATACAGAAACCTAGTGTAGTAGAACTTTTCTCGCAACCCTTTGTGAGCAATTTGACTAAAAAACCAGTAAAAGGCGTCCTTAGGAATGATATTAAGTAATTCTTTGTATTGAAACAACAAATATAATGTAATGGTGTAGAATATAACCTCCTATATTTTTTACGGCCAATAACTGAAGCACAAACAA